AGAAGCAGGAAGCATTATCTCCTGCAATTTGTAACCAAACTTGTTTGTCTGAGCGACTGGCTGAACAAGAAGTAGGACTGAGTGGACTTGTAGGTTCTAAAGTTTTACATAGTTTTATTTTTAAATGCAGGTTTTTTGTACATAATTCTATATTTTTAAGTTCAACTTTCATAGAATCATAGAATATCAGGGTTGGAAGGGACCTCAGGAGGTCATCTAGTCCAACCCCCTTCTCAAAGCAGGACCAATCCCCAACTAAATCAGCCCAGCCAGGGCTTTGTCAAGCCTGACCTTAAAAATATCTAAGGAAGGAGATTCCACCACCTCCCTAGGTAACACATTCCAGTGTTTCACCACCCTCCTAGTGAAAAAGTTTTTCCTAATATCCAACCTAAACCTCCCCCACTGCAACTTGAGACCATTACTCCTTGTTCTGTCATCAGCTACCACTGAGAACAGCCTAGATCCATCCTTTTTGGAACCCCCTTTCAGGTAGTTGAAAGCAGCTATCAAACCCCCCCTCATTCGTCTCTTCCGCAGACTAAATAATCCCAGTTCCCTCAGCCTCTCCTCATAAGTCATGTGTTCCAGTCCCCTAATCATTTTTGTTGCCCTCCGCTGGACTTTCCAATTTTTCCACATCTTTCTTGTAGTGTGGGGCCCAAAACTGTACACAGTACTCCAGATGAGGCCTCACCAATGTCGAATAGAGGGGAACGATCACGTCCCTCGATCTGCTGGCAATGCCCCTACTTATACATCCCAAAATGCCATTGGCCTTCTTGGCAACAAGGGCACACTGTTGACTCATATCCAGCTTTTCGTCCACTGTAACCCCTAGGTCCTTTTCTGCAGAACTGCTGCCGAGCCATTTGGTCCCTAGTCTGTAGCGGTGCATGGGATTCTTCCGTCCTAAGTGCAGGACTCTGCACTTGTCCTTGTTGAACCTCATCAGATTTCTTTTGGCCCAATCCTCTAATTTGTCTAGGTCCCTCTATATCCTATCCCTACCCTCCAGCGTATCTACCTCTCCTCCCTGTTTAGTGTCATCTGCAAACTTGCTGAGGGTGCAATCCACACCATCCTCCAGATCATTTATGAAGATACTGAACAAAACCGGCCCGAGGACCAACCTTTGGGGCACTCCACTTGATACCGGCTGCCAACTAGACATGGAGCCATTGATCACTACCCATTGAGCCTGACAATCTAGCCAACTTTCTATCCACCTTATAGTCCATTCATCCAGCCCATACTTCTTTAACTTGCTGGCAAGAATACTGTGGGAGACCGTGTCAAAAGCTTTGCTAACGTCAAGGAATAACATGTCCACTGCTTTCCCCTCATCCACAGAGCCAGTTATCTCATCATAGAAGGCAATTAGATTAGTCAGGCATCACTTGCCCTTTGTGAATCCATGCTGACTGTTCCTGATCACTTTCCTCTCCTTTAAGTGCTTCAGAATTGATTCCTTGTGGACCTGCTCCATGATTTTTCCAGGGACTGAGGTGAGGCTGACTGGCCTGTAGTTCCCAGGATCCTTCTTCCTCCCTTTTTTAAAGACGGGTGCTACATTAGCGTTTTTCCAGTCGTCCGGGACTTCCCCCGATCGCCATGAGTTTTCAAAGATAATGGCCAATGGCTCTGCAATCACATCCGCCAACTCCTTTTAGCACTCTTAGATGCAGCGCATCCGGCCCCAGGGATTTGTGCTCGTCCAGCTTTTCTAAATAGTCCCGAACCACTTCTTTCTCCACAGAGGGCTGGTCACCTCCTCCCCATGCTGTGCTGCCCAGTGCAGTAGTCTGGGAGCTGACCTTGTTCGTGAAGACAGAGGAAAAAAAAGCTTTGGGTACATTAGCTTTTTCCACATCCTCTGTCACTAGGTTGCCTCCCTCATTCAATAAGGGGCCCACGCTTTTCTTGACTTTCTTCTTGTTTGCTAACATACCTGAAGAAACCCTTCTTGTTACTCTTAACATCTCTTCCTAGCTGCAACTCCAGGTGTAATTTGGCCTTCCTGATTTCACTCCTGCATGCCCGAGCAATATTTTTATACTCTTCCCTGGTCATTTGTCCAATCTTCCACTTCTTGTAAGCTTCTTTTTTGTGTTTAAGATCAGCAAGGATTTCACTGTTAAGCCAAGCTGGTCGCCTGCCATATTTACTGTTTTTTCTACACATCGGGATGGTTTGTCCCTGTACCCTCAATATGGATTCTTTAAAATACAGCCAGCTCTCCTGGACTCCTTTCCCCCTCATGTTATTCTCCCAGGGGATCCTGCCCATCAGGTCCCTGAGGCAGTCAAAGTCTGCTTTTCTGAAATCCAGGGTCTGTATTCTGCTGCTCTCCTTTCTTCCCTGTGTCAGGATCCTGAACTCGACCATCTCATGGTCACTGCCTCCCAGGTTCCCATCCACTTTTGCTTCCCCTACTAATTCTTCCCGGTTTGTGAGCAGCAGGTCAAGAAGAGCTCTGCCCCTAGTTGGTTCCTCTAGCACTTGCACCAGGAAATTGTCCCCTACATTTTCCAAAAACTTCCTGGATTGTCTGTGCACCGCTATATTGCTCTCTCAGCAGATATCAGGGTGATTGAAGTCTCCCATGAGAACCAGGGCGTGCGATCTAGTAACTTCCGTAAGTTGCCGGAAGAAAGCCTCGTCCACCTCATCCCCCTGGTCCGGTGGTCTGTAGCAGACTCCCACCACGACATCACCCTTGTTGCTCACACTTCTAAACTTAATCCGGAGACACTCAGGTTTTCTGCAGTTTCATACTTGAGCTCTGAGCAGTCATACTGCTCCCTTACATACAGTGCAACTCCCCCACCTTTTCTGCCCTGCCTGTCCTTCCTGAACAGTTTATATCCATCCATGACAGTACTCCAGTCATGTGAGTTATCCCACCAAGTCTCTGTTATTCCAATCACATCATAATTCCTTGACTGTGCTAGGACTTCCAGTTCTCCCTGCTTTGTTTCCCAGGCTTCTTGCATTTGTGTATAGGCACTTGAGGTAACTCGCTGATCGTCCCTCTTTCTCAGTATGAGGCAGGAGCCCTGCCCCCTCGTGCGCTCCTGCTCGTGCTTCCTCCCGGTATCCCACTTCCCCACTTACCTCAGGGCTTTGGTCTCCTTCCCCCGGTGAACCGAGTTTAAAGCCCTCCTCACTAGGTTAACCAGCCTGCTTGCGAAGATGCTCTTCCTTCTCTTCGTTAGGTGGAGCCCGTCTCTGCCTAGCACTCCTCCTTCTTGGAACAGCATCCCATGGTCAAAGAATCCAAAGCCTTCTCTCCGACATCACCTGCGTAGCCATTCGTTGACTTCCACGATTCGACGCTCTCTACCCAGGCCTTTTCCTTCCACGGGGAGGATGGACGAGAAGACCACTTGCGCCTCAAACTCCTTTATCCTTCTTCCCAGAGCCACGTAGTCTGCAGTGATCCGCTCAAGGTCATTCTTGGCAGTATCATTGGTGCCCATGTGGAGAAGCAGGAAGGGGTAGCGATCCGAGGGCTTGATGAGTCTCGGCAGTCTCTCTGTCACATCGTGAATCCTAGCTCCTGGCAAGCAGCAGACTTCTCGGTTTTCCCGGTCAGGGCGGCAGATAGATGACTTAGTCCCCCTGAGGAGGGAGTCCCCAACCATCACCACCCGTCTCCAAAATAAAGCGATTGCATTACTGTACTTGTATTAGGTGAATTGAAAAATACTATTTCTTTTGTTTTTACAGTGCAAATATTTGTAATAAAAATATAAAGTGAGCACTGTACACTTTGTATTCTGTGTTGTAATTGAAATCAATATATTTGACAATGTAGAAAACATCCAAAAATATTTAAATAAATGGTATTCTCTTATTAACAGTGCAATTAATCACAATTAATTTTTAATGGCTTGACAGCCCTAATTTTAATAAAAACCATTATTTGCTGGTTGCAATAAAAACCTGAGGACCAGAATTAATAACCCCTAATTTAGGCATACAGTCAGTGGACCGAACAGGAGAAATATTCAAAAATAAACTTGTTTTTATATAAATCTAACTAAAAAGAAAACTGGTTTATCAATACAACAATATGTTTATTTTGCATATCACCTTGTGCTAGTGATAACCCATTTGAAAAACACTTTACAGCACAAATACTATTTGGTTTACATATTATTGCTCATATTAAAAAAAAAATCTTGCCTGCTATCGGGACAATGAAAGACCATGAATTTGTCCAGTGTGGTTTAAATTTTGAACTGTATTTTGCTGAACCTGCACACTTTCGATCAAGTCTTGCTCATTTTTAGGGCAAACTCATATTTTTTGGACCATCAAGTATTCACACACAAGCCACTCCTCCAACATAGCCCTCTCTCTCCTCTCACACACTCTTGTATACAACAAGGTCCTGTTGTCTCCATGCTTACCACAGTACCCATTACCAAGCTCCAAACCTCGTGCCGGAATCCCCAGATGTATTGTTGTCTCTTTCAGTCCCTGAGTAAAAATACTTTAAATCTTTATCTGTTTACTCAAATTGAGTGAGCTAAGCTTAGGCATGTGTCTTGTGAGAGTGAGGCTTCATGCTCACCAGTGACTCTCACCATCACACCCAATGAGTGAGACTTGACATGTCTGGTAAGACGCCCCACAAGCAAGGGCCCACTCTTGTGACTGCAGCTCCCCAGAAGGCCCAACCCATGGGGCAAGCCAGGTGCTGAAACTAGGAGCGCTGGGGGTGTGGCAGCACCCCCTGGCTTGAAGTGGTTTCCAGCATATGCAGGGTTTACAGTTTGGCTCAATGGTTTTCAGCGCCCCCACCATAAACATTGTTCCAGCAGCACTTAAGACTCGGCCCACGCGTGGGGCAGGACCCCCACCTTGGAGTCTCCGCCGGGCCTGCAGGGCCCCCGCTGGCCTGAAGGGCGCTCTGCGCTCCAGGGTTAGGCGCGGGCCCTTTAAGAGCTTCCTCCTACCAGCCCCCCCGGCGTTTGATAACAAACCGGCGTGAGGGGCGGGGCTCCCCGGGCAGCAGCAACAGCAGCAGGCCCGGCCGGGCGCGGAGGGAGGGAGGCCTTTCAAGATGGCGGCGTCCGTGGAGCCGGAGCCGCAGCCGCAGCCCCTGAGCCTGGAGCTGCTGCCCACCGACCCGCTGCTGCTCATCTTGAGCTTCCTGGACTACCGGGACCTCCTGAGGTAGGGCGGGACCCCGGGGCTGGGCGCCTCTGAGCTGCGGGCCGCAGGCTGGGGGCCAGTCGCTCCTTCGCTGCCCTCTGCTGCGGGGCTGGGGCGGCGCCCCTGGCGCGGCGTGTCCCGGGCGCCCACGCGCCTTGGCCGGCGGTAGCGGCCCCTGGGGGCGTGGGCGGCTTGCCGGGGAGCGGGGTGCTCTCTCGGCGCCTGTGCGGCGCGTCGCCGGGCAGGCGGAGGGGGCCCCGGGACGGGGGAGGGGCGTGGCGTAGGGTAGCGTAGCAAGTGGGTTTTGCGATCCCTTAATGAGGCGTCAACAGGTGAGTTCTCCGCTGCCGGCGCCCCAGCGTGTGTGCGCGGCGCGGCAGCGCCCCCTCCGCCCGCCCCGGTCCTGTGTTGCTGCGGGGCGACCCGCGCCGGGCCAGGTGCGTCGCCCCCCGCCCCGGCTTCAGAACAGCCGCACTGGGTTGCTGTCCAGCCCTCTGCGCACCTGTGTGCTCCAACATTGCTCTCCCAACTCCAGCTTCCCGGGACGCTGTAGGGAAACGTTTCGTGCAAGTTCAGGCTGGGCAGTGCTGTGAGCACACTGAGTTGGGGTGGCAAACCGTGTACAGAGAAGACGTTTCGAGTTTGGGTACCAGGCAAGAAACCCTGGACATTCTTATGAGAGGAAACTTGACTTAAGTGACACTTATTGAAACCTGTACACCGTGTTGCTGTAGCTGTGTTGGTCCCAGGCTGTTAGAGAGACAAGGTGGTTAAGGTAATATCTTTTATTGTACCCATTTCACCCACCTTGTATCTCTAATTACTAAAACCTGGTGGGATAACCATATAATGGATGTTAAAATTGCTGATTATAACCTCTTTTCTGAAGGATAGAGTGGATAACAGGTAGGGGATGGCACTATACTTTAAAGATCCCATTACCTGTTCACTTTCACTCAGGACGTTGAATACATATGGATCAGTGGAAGGAGCACTTGCCAGGAGTGTTACAAATCCCCTGAGAGAACAGGATGATTAACTTCTTACACACACGTCTATTATGTGTGGGAAAGGAAATTGTGGGGTTATGGGAAACTTCAGTTTGGGAGATGTGTGCTAGAGGTCTTACACTGCCAGTAGTAAAATATCATTAGTTTCTAAAAAGTATAGATAACTTTTGAGGTAACTTTATTTTGGACATCATTGTGGTGGATAAAGATGAATCAATGTATCCATCACTTGCCTGGAAGTTGATACTTGTCTAGGAACTAGTGATCATGACCTGATTCAATATAGACAAACAGAGGATAGGTCTATCCAGTGATATGTATAGTTGGTGTTTTAAAAGGGCTAATTTCCCAAAGCTGAGGAAACTTCATAACAAAGTAAAATTGGGGAAAAAATGACTTAGTGTGCAAACAACTGTCTCAAACATAATACTATTTTGTGGTTGGAGGGGGTGCAACCCCCCCCCCCAAATGTCATAAACCATTTTAGAAAACCCTGTTCTTGCTTGGGTATCTACCAGGATTTAAAAATGTGGTTCTGTAACATGGTTTATAACATTTGTTTTCTTCTGTTTGCTTATGTGGACAAGACAGCCTTGTTACAGCATGTTTTAATGACAGTTGTATTACATTTAAAACTGTTTGCACTCCCTAAAAATGAAGTTAAAACTTGTTAAAATTTTATAGCTTTAATGTTCATTTCATGACATATAATCTTAAATATGTTAATACCTTGACTTGCATTTGTCCTTTGTTATTTTACTACTTTTTGTAATCAGACTTAACACTGACTTGTATTTATAGCTGCTGCTATGTAAGTCGAAGATTAAACCAGCTATCAAGTCATGATCCATTGTGGAAAAGACACTGCAGGAAATACTGGCTTTTATCTGAGTAAGTATGGGCACTCTTTCTTTATGAACAAAAATTTTAGTTTGGAGCAGTTCTTTTTAACCAGCTCATTTTGTTAACAGTGCTATTTTTGCATAGGCTCTTTCAGAATAACATTGCAAAATGCTTCATAGCCTCTTGTGGTCTTTAATGCTTTGTAGATCCAATGTTAACAGAAGTTGTGAGATAAGCTGTACTCTGATATCAACTGAACAAAGTTAATGTCAGCTCTCAAAGATACTCCCAGAGATTTGTTTAAGATTGTTACTTCTATGTTACATGGTGGATTTGGCCTCTTCTGTAAGAATGCCTTGGCTTCCTACTTGAGATGGATTCAGGGAGCAATTCAGGTAATTTTTATACAGTGCCACAATGTTGTGTGGTGCTTTTCAGACAAATGATGATTAAAGCTATGTTTTAGTCACGGGTATTTTTAGTAAAAATCTTGGGCAGGTCACAGGCCATGAACAAAAATTCATGGCCCATGACCTGTCCATGATTTTTACTAAAAATACTCACTGTGACTAAAACTTGGGTGGGGGTGCTCGGGCGGGGTGGTCTGGGGGCCCTGTGGATGCTGGGGGAGATGACCCGGGACGCTGCTGATTCTGGGGGAGTGGTGGCGGGGCTTCCTATCAGCTCCATCCCTGCAGCTCCTAGGTGGCATAGGCAGGGGCTAGGCCAGGGCAGCGCCCAGTGGGAGCAGGGTCTGTGTGCGTGGGCAGTGTGGAGACCGCTCCACCACCTAGGAGCTGCAGGGGTGCCCCCCACCCCAGGTAAGCGCACTCCCAAACCCCTGCCCCAAGTCCTGAGCCTCTTCTCCCACACCCAAACTGCTGCTGCTGGCCCAGGGGCTGCCTGGCTCAAGCAGCCCCTGGGCCAGCACCAGCCACTGCAGAAGTCATGGAAAGTCATGCAAGCTGTGACGTCCGTGACAGACTCGCAGCCTCAGTAATGATGTCCCTGTTCCAAAGAACTTAGAAACTAAGACCATGATCGTGCAAATGCTTTGCATGGATAATATTCCACTGACTTAATTGAAGTGCTGCAGAGGGCAGAGACTCTAATGAGATTGGGACCTAAATGTAGGCAAAACTCAACAAATGATGACAAATGGAGTGGGTGAACATGGGGAATGGAGGGCACACATCATAAAATTACGGTCACTGTCACTTTACTTGCAATCTGTGAAAATAAAATGACTGTGAATATTTCCATTTTTCAAATAGATAGTGTATTCTATTTACATGTTCTCATTCAAACTAAGAATCGATAAATGCAGAAGCATTTCCTAACATTTTACATGCTTTGTAGTATTTGGAAATGGCCTTCCCTCTAAAATATAACTAACCTGTTATTTCCACATCTGAAGGCTGAATGAGAGACAAGAAACTGCCCATTTTGAATAGAACAGCCTAAAAGCAACTTAGTGGAAATATACAAAATGGAGAATTTTGTTGCTGTTTCCCTTCATGCATACCCAGTATTGCCAGTCCTCCCCCTCAGCTTCTACCAAGATGGCATCTGTAACACTACACCCGATATTCATCATGGGAGTACAATTATGATATAATTATGATGCAGTTTGTACAAGATGAGTCGTGAGGTGTCATTGGAAAGGTTATGATTTTCTGAATACAGTTATCCTATTTGAATGCATGTATCATTTTTGTATATAAAGTTATGACTATTTACTATGTATCTGTATTTCAAATGTAGTTACACTAGGGTGACACCCACTAGGCAAGATGCTTCCAGTCTAGATAGCTGGTTGTGAAGGGCCCATTCAGGGTAATGGGCCATTAGGAAAAACAGTAGGTCTTAAGAGAAGCTTATCCCCCACCTGGTGAGCCTTCCTGAGAATGCTGCAGACATTCTGTGAGTAATAAGAAAAGGAGTACTTGTGGCACCTTAGAGACTAACCAATTTATTTGAGCACGAAAGCTCATGCTCAAATAAATTGGTTAGTCTCTAAGGTGCCACAAGTACTCCTTTTCTTTTTGCGAATACAGACTAACACGGCTGTTCCTCTGAAATCTGTGAGTAATGGCTTTTATGACTTAGAAGGGCATGCAAAAGCATGTGACCAGACCACATGACACTATTCTCCATTTTGGGTACCTGTATTTTTCCACATGCTGGGTTGGGAACTGTTTTTGAAACAAAGGGTTCCCACCATATGAAACAACTTGGGGAGCCCAAGGTTCAAAACAAGTGCAGCATGTGCCTTGAGAATCTGCAAGTCTGCTTATATCATCAGGGTGAGAAATTGCTGATCATATCAAGTCTTTCTAGTATCTTAGGCTTAATGTGCAATTTTGTTTTTGTTAGGTAATCCACTTTGATCTGTTTGCTATTGCTTATAATCACTTAAAATATGTCATCTTGTAGTTAATAAACTTGTTTTATGTTTTAATCTAAACCAGTGTATCTTTAAGTGAAGTGTCTGGTGAAAAATCTCAACTTGTATGTTCTCAACTCATGTTGCATGTTCCCCTCCACACTGAGGGAAGGGCGAACCCAGTAATGCATTCATATGGGCCAGAGTTCAGGCGGTACAGCTCTGGGGTCCTAGGCTGGGAAGCTGGGATTATTTTGGCTGTAGCCTCTCTATTGCTGGTTCATGCAGTGACTTGTTCAGCCTGCGTGTAACTGCAGCTGGGTGTCCCTGCCTGTGTGAATGCTGGTGGGAGTGTAGGACTGGGAGTGGTCTACAGCTTGTCACAGCAGGACAGTCAGAGGGGTAGCCCAGGCTGGTGGGTTGGAGGACTCAGTTGAACCCCAGTTCAAGATGGCACCCCAGAGGGAAACCTGTCACAGCATCCTTTTGACTAAGAACTCTCTTAAGAGAGGTTTCAGAGGAACAGCCGTGTTAGTCTGTATTCGCAAAAAGAAAAGGAGTACTTGTGGCACCTTAGAGACTAACCAATTTATTTGAGCATGAGCTTTCGTGAGCTGAAAGCTCATGCTCAAATAAATTGGTTAGTCTCTAAGGTGCCACAAGTACTCCTTTTCTTTTTTCTCTCTTAAGAGAGCTAGCTAGTTTTGCTCCTCAATTGGTCAGTCAACAGTTCCAGCCAGAGGCGGATTAAGATTTATTGTGGTCCTGGGCACAAAGAACATTTGGGCCCCCAACACCCTGGCGGAGCTAAGAGGGCCGGAACCAGAGAGGACCAGCGGGGCCATGGCCCTCCCCCCTTCTAAAAGTGGGAGAGCAATGCTTGCCCACTTTTTAACATGGATATAGTAGCCTTGGGCAGATGCAGAGCAGCAGGGGCTGTGCTTCACAGCAAGGGAGCTGATAAGGTGTTCATCAGCTGCACAGCTGGGAAGTACAGCCCCTGCTAGTAGTGTCAACCTCTTCCCGGTTCAGGGCTGAGGTTGGCCTTAGCTCCCACTCACCTGGAATTATGGCTCTGCCCCCTGCTCCTCTTCCCTCTCCAAGGCCCTGGCCAGGCCTGAAGCCAGAGTCTGGCAGTGGTAAGAACCACCTAGGGAGCCTGGATTCTCCATCTGCCCTGGGTGGTGCACCTGGGGTTCAGGTACATGGGTCTGGGGCTGCTCTCAGGCGTCCCGGCCCTCCACCCAGGGCAGGTGAAGGGTCTGAGGCTCCCCACAGCAGCCCAGGCTTCCTGAACAGTTCTTACCACAGCTCGGCTCCAACATCTGGCCGGGACAGGGCCCCAGGGTGAAGAGTAGGAGACAGGGCCACAATTCCAGCCCTGTGTCATCATGTCCCTCGCAACACACACACACTTCTATAAAGATTCCAGTGCTCCTGCAGGCGCCCCCAAATTGTCCAGGGTCCCTGGACATGGGTCCCATGGGACTGTGTGTTAATCTGCCACTGGTTCCAGCCCTCTAGCAGCTCAGGACCATTCAATCCTGGCAGAACTTTCAACAGTCAGCATTGGTGGATGGGACATATCATTGTATCTGAGCCTCCTATATGGCAGTGCCTGGCATGCTGGTCCGATCTTAAACATCCGTCCTTGAATAAAAAGGTCTAAAGAGAGAATTATTTTGAGAGTTCATTTTCAGTGTTCCTTACTTTGATTCATGGTCGTTCTTTAAGTCTGATTTTTATGGGAACTATTTTGAAAACTTAAATAAGGCCACATGCTTTCCCTAATCATGCTCCCACCACCTTTTCCTCACTCATCTCCTTTCAGAGACTTCTTTTATGATGTTTACAAGAATGAATTGATAACAATTAATAAACCTTCCAAGTTATTACCTTCTGTTTGTCTTAATATGTCCCGTCTTCTCTATCTGTTTTTTAGATTGTAAACTCTCTGAAGACTGAGTTTATTTGTGACTTAAATGCCAAAATGTTCATTGCTGTTCTACAAATGAATAAAAGCTGAATCCCCTGCTATTTGTCTCAATTTATAATGAGCGTTTGTTTGGTTTTTTATTGCAGGAGGTGCTCTTTGGAATATAAAATCTCATCTACACATGAAATCTTTATTTTAATTGTCACTTCTGTGTTTTGTGACCAGGTTTCTGGTCCCATAGTCCTTATTTAGGCAAAATTGAGAGAGGACTGCAGGGTTGGAATTATTTTTAACTTAAATGCCCTCTGCAAATGCAAGTTAAATTGATCTGATTTAGTTTTCTGCAAGTTCCTGAGTTTAATAATGGCATATAGTCCTCTAAAGAAATAATATATCTGAATTTTCCCTGGAAAAGATGACTGGCTGAAATGTAATTACTTCCAAAGGAAATTAAAAATTTGAATAGTTCCATGAATTAGTTGAGCATCTGTACCTTCACAGGACTGAAGTGTATCTATGTACACTGTTATAACCTAATGTTACCATATTACCTAGGAGAACCCTAACTGCCTAAGCAATAACATATTGTTTTTAAAGTGAATTTTCTAGACTAGAAACTTATCGTATTTTTATTCTTGTCTGTTCAGCGCAGAGAAGACTCGGAGAAATCAGAGCTGGAAGGCTATCTTCATAAGTATTTACTCTGATTTAGGAAGGTATATTCAATATTATGCTACACTTAAAAAAGCCTGGGATGATCTAGAGAGTTACTTGGGACAGCGGTGTCCCCGGATGATTGGTTCTTTGAAAGGTATTGTATAAACATTATTTTTGTTTTTTAAAACCAAGATATTTGTATAATTTTTTTAAAGTTTTACACCCACTGCATAATCTGGGTGCACTACATAAACAAAAGTACCAACTTCTATCAAACTGAACTCCAAAAAAGATTATCCCCAATCTTAGACTTGGTCCCTTTATTCCCTCTGTTCCTCACTGAATTTCCAAACTTCTTGGACAAGTCTGAGATAACATGTGGGCCCATTTCCTGTCCTGAAGGCCTTCAGTCCAGGGTCAAGTGAACCAAGACATGAAGCAAGGTTCAAAGTTGAGCCCCTGCACAAGAGTGACCTGATGCTAGTAGCCCCCTCCCTATTAAATTGGCATAAGTGTTTTTAAGAGTTATCACAGGGAGGTGGAGAGCAAAGGGGGTGATTTTTCAAGTAGTCAGGCCCACTAAGTGTCATTGGTAAAACAAACATCGTAAATTCAGCTAGGAAACTCTTGATAGGCAGCACAGATTCTAGAGCAGTGACAAAACCTGGCTACTTCCTCTGTGCCTTCCTCAACACCCAATTGGCACTGCTGTTCATACACTCCTGCAGACCCCTTACTGTGCTCTCTGCAGCACTGTTAACTTGGGGAACACTTGTAGCCTGGTAGCCAAGATCAGGTTTCAAAAAGGCTGAGATAGGGGTGAGGTATTATAATTTCCCTCAGTGAATCCTTGGGGCAGGGATCAAAAGGCCTAAGTTAAGGTTGCATGGCTATTGTGTGGGAAGTGTCACTCTGTATTTCCTGGTTTTCTAATATTTGTATCATGTTTTTTCTATGTTAATATTCTTAACTCTACATATCTTTGTTTTGGAATGTTTGAATTTTAGGAATCTAGGCTGGGATGCTCAAAGGAGCCTAAGGGAACTTGGCTGCCTAATTCTCTTAGGCTCCTTTGAAAATCACAGCCAAACTCTCATCTTCTAGAAGGACAAGAGCTCACGGTAGTGTAGAGGAAGGGATGGCTAGGCTGCTAGTCTGAGACTCAGGAGACAATCTGGGCTCAATTCCCTACTATGCCACATACTCCCTGTGTGACATTGGACAAGTCATTTAGTGTGTGTCTGTGAAATTTCCTAATCTGTAAAATGGGGATAATAGCACTTCCTACCTCAGAGGTGTTAAGTATGAGTACACTGAAGATCAAGAAACTTGCATACTGCAGTAATAGGGGCCACGTTAGCACCTAACATAGGGTTGAGGTCTTGCAATCTTAACTCCATGTTAACTACTTTTTGTGGTGTGTGGGTTTTCTTGTATCTGGCTAGTCTTTCACAGCTAGGTGTCTGGTTCAAATCCCTCCCTGGTCACTACATTCACCAGTAGTAAATACTACCTTGTGGCTGTTGGCCTACGTTAAACATGGTGTGTGTTTGTCCCAGCCTAATTTCCAGAGGATGAATGTCCAGGTGCACAAAGCGCTATATTTGTTGGCAGCCTCGGCAAAGGGGCCAAAGATTGAATTACTGTGAAAATGTAACTGCCTTCTTATTGAATAAAAGATGCCATACAGTGTGGAAACCTTACATTGCTTTTGCCTATACTGCACCTATCCTGTAATTAAATAGGGGTATTGTTTTAATGCCTGTCCGGATGTCATAATAGTGTGACTGTACTATTTAATATTTTCATTTCAAGACTTGGATAATACAGTTGAGTCCGCTTATAAAACTTACGCATGACACCAAGTTGTGTGGGGTTGCAAGCGCTTTGGAGAGCAGGATTAGAATTCAAAACAACCTTGACAAATTAAAGAATTGGTCTGAAATCAACAAGATGAAATACTTTTCACTTGTCTTTACAGAATTACACTTAAAGAGGAAAAGTCAAATGCACAATTACAAAATGGGAAGTAAATGGTTGGGTGGTAGTACTGCTGAAAAGGATCTGGGGGTTTTAATGGATCACAAATTGAATGAGTCAACAATGCGGTGCAGTTGTAAAAAAGGCAAATCTTCCGGGGTGTGAGGTGTTTGTCTTGTTCTACTCAGCACTGGTGAGTCCCCAGCTAGAGTACTGTGTACACTTCTGGGTGCCACACTTTAGGAAACGTGGACATATTAGAATCCAGAGGAGAGCAATAAAACTGATAAAAGGTTTAGGAAACCTGACCTTTGAGGAAAGGTTAAAAACTGGGCATGGTTAGTCTAAGAAAAGAAGACTGGGGGAGGACCTGATAACGGTCTTCAGATATATTAAGGGCTGTTATCAAGATGATCATGATCAATTGTTCTCCTTGTCCACTGAAGGCAGGAGAAGTAGTAATGGGCTTAATCTGCAGTGAGAAATTTAGGTTAAATATTTGGAAAAACATTCTAACTGTAAGGCTAGTTAAGTTCTGGAATAGGCTTCCATGGGAGGCTGTGGAATCCCCATCATCAGAGATTTTGAAGAACAGGTGGACGAACACCTGTCAGGGATGGTTTAGGTATACTTGGTCCTGTCTCAGTGTTGGGGGCTGGACTTCATAACTTCTCAGTGTTCCTTTGTGTCCTATATTTTTCTTATATTCATAAGTTTGTTTTGAAGACCTAATTGAAAACATCTCTGCATAACAAATACTTAATCAAGTGGCTTTGAGCTAAAATTCTTTTTTAAAAAAAAAAATCAGTCTGTAGCCTCATATTGACTGTCTTATTATGAAAGTTTGCTTGTAACATCAGAATCTATGAGCAGAGAAGAAATTCCCGCTCCTACAGAGAGAGATCCCCCCTTGGGGGGTTACTCTTGGTGATTACTAGGTTGTGATTTTTTTATTAGAAATATTTGGAAAACAGGTTCGTAACTACTTACGATGACTATTAAATGTTGCGTTTTGGGTACCTTAATTTTCTAAATATGCTTTAATTCAGTAATAGATTTTTAAAGCCAGAAAGGACAATTAGATCACAGTCTGACCTCTTGTATAACAGTGGCTATAGAATTTCATCCTGTTGTCCCTAGATTGAGCCCAATAACTTTTAAGTTACTTGTATAAAGATACGGCCAAATTCAGGAGCAACTCTACTGAAATTAAATGGAATATCTCTATTGAGAGAGTAGTTGGCTAGCCCTAGGAAATCATGAGAAATGTTCACTATGTGCAACGTTATCAGTTTTGTATAATGGGAAGAGCAGATTTATTTTGAGATCCCAAAAGAGATACCATATCAGAAATTTAGAGTAACGGAAGCATCTCCAAGATTGGCTTTTGTAATTTTTTTTTGCTGGAAATTTAATGTGGCCATCTCCTCCTTTAGTGAAAAATTCTAAATTCTATGGTAATGATCAAAAAATAAAATCTGCACAGAACCTTCTTTTATGGTAGCAAGTAGAGCTACAACTTGGTTGGCTGAGAGTGGCTGAGTCAGGACTCCATCAACTAACTTCTAGTGGTGGGGGGCGATGTTTCTTTTCTTTTAGGGAAGGTCTCAGGGTGCATCACTTTGTTTCTCCAACCAGTGCTATTGAAACTCACCCTGACGTGAGTCTCTTGAAGAAATACCTACTTCTGATAAATTTGTATTGTTGAGATCTCTTAGAAGGCAAAAACAGACTACTGCTATATGAGTAACCCTTGTTCTGAAATTTGTGATATACTGATATTCTCTGTTACCTAACACACACTAGCATACTATTGGGGTTAGTACCAAGTAATAAACTTGCTGTTTGCTTGAAGGAGGAGTTGGTAGTACAAAAAATAATCTGAATTTTGAACGTTCTAAGATGTACTAGTTAAGATAATGCTGTCCTTATTTTCTCTTTTGTGCCTAACAGTAAGTGATCAAAAATCCTACTTTTGAATTGAGAGAGTCACAATGGGATGCATAAGGAGAGTAATAACCTAAATTCTGAATTTCTGGACTCTTGGATGATTGAGCCAGATCATTATTTGTATTTTTGTTTTCCTTTTGCACTAAATGTCCAATAATACTGCACCTAAAACAAAAGTGTTGTTTTTTTTGTTTTGTGTTTTTGTTTTTTTTAATTCACTGCACTTTTGTAATATCAAATGCAGTTGAAACTTGGTGGTGACTAGAGGGGCTTTAAAATAAACCGATTTTTTTTCCCCCAATTCATTGTACATTTGCTGTTGCCATTATAGCATAGACAAACAAATTTATTTGAGCATAAGCTTTCATGAACTACACCTCACTTCATTGGATGCATTCCACATTTTCCAGTGGAAAATACAGTGGGGAGATTTATATACACTGAAAAACTTAAACAGTTAGGCCAAATTCTGCTCTGACATACAGCAGTGCAGCTCCAGTGAAATGATTTAGGCTGCATTGAAGCCAAAAGGGTTGCAACTGTGTAAATGAAAGCATCATTTGTCTCTAGTTGTCTTAAGAGATCCACCAATTTTTGTCAGGCATAATCCAATTGAATTTTAAGAGGGGTTTACACAAAGGCAAGTACTTTAAGCAATTTATTGAGATGATTTCTGAAGCGACAGTTCTTGTTTCTGTTGTCTGAAGCTACCACCTAAACAAAAATTGTTTTTAATGTGTTTGCAGATAGTGTGCAGGAGGAAGACCTAGATGCTGTGGAAGCACAAATAGGCTGCAAACTCCCTGATGATTATCGATGTTCATTTCGTATTCATAATGGACAGAAACTAGTTGTTCCTGGGTAAGGAGTTAAACCTACTATCAATTCCATTATTTAATTATTTCTTTTCTTCATGGTGGCCAGTTCAGTTAAACTGAGACATGGAGTGAGGATTGGAATGCCTGCTAAGCAGGCTATCCAAAATATTATATACAGTATAGAAGTTAGCTGTTATGTTCTTTGGGTAAAATCTTCACAAGAACCTATGTCCCACTGTTAGCAGTGCCTTAGCAGTGGGACCTAGGCATCTAAGTGCCTTGCCAATGGAGCTAGGATCCTAAATGCCCAAGTCACTTTCGAAAATGGGACTTGAATGCTTTTTGAAAGTTTTACCTTTGATAATCAGCAAAATTTTAGCCCTGGATATTTACGGCCCTCAATTACACCAATGTTTACAGAATTACTCTGTATGCTCTGTGTTGTAATCGAGGGCAGAATTAACCTATTTTGTAACCAGAATTTGCAAAATGTGATAAAATGGTCAGGGAACTAATTTTCAGACCTGGCAATCCAAGAATAGTTTTAAGTGGGAGAGGTGGAACCACTGGAAAAGCAAAAGGGTAGAATAGAAATTTTGCACCCTACAAAAGAGAAATATTTTTTAAATTTTCCTTATTACTGAAAAGATGACGTTTCCCTGAAATGTAAAACTGACAGCTCTTGATGTCCTAAGCAAGTGATTAAACATTATTGCATATTGTCCAGACACAGAAACAGTGCACCTTCAAGCCTCTCATGTTTAGCACACTGGGCTGTATTTGAGGGAAAGTGACATGAGTGGTAGAAATACTGCCAAGAATGGTATGTTGATAGAAAATGATGGGGATTTGAGGTGTGTGTGTGTGTGTTTTGAGCTGGCATTTGCAAGTTTGTGGCACCTCTAACTTCTCACTGGGTGGCAGCTGGAGCCTTTTTTGGTATCTTTTACCCCCAACCCTAGCTCCAGGTGTGTAAAAAGTAACCGGTCAATTCTGCATATTCCTGAGGATGACTTGAACTTTTTACAAGTAGGTATTCTAGAAGAGATTTTCAAAAGGGAATTAGGCAATGGGAGTGACATGCCTTGTTCCCCTTTGAAAATCTCCCCTCTGTGGGCAAGTAAGTGATTTAACAAAAAAGCCAAGTGCCAAGCACTGATGTAATGGAATTGGTCAGGAAATGGTAAAAACTTCTGGAAATGCTATCCTAGTATGACCCTCAAGGCCTATTAAATCCTGGCTTAATATTACTAATGTATCCAAACTGCACATTTTGAGAGAAAATAGTGAAAGACATAAAACCATTTCTTGAAGGATCTGATCAGTGTTGGTTTTTACACTTCAGAAATTTCCAAAGCTGTTTACCTGCCACATAAAGAGTGTCCTGCTTTTGCAATGCTTTGGAGTAACTAGGGCTTCATGCTGAGACAGTTTACTTTTTTATCCTACTAACTCTTTCCCTGTTTTTTTTAAAGCAAGCTAAAAGTCTGAAAGCTCTCTTGACTTCTTTGTTTTATTTTGTTCTTAGCTCTAAAACGTATAACTTGAACTAGGCACTGTGTGATTCTTCCTCCTTTCTGCCTACCAGTTACATTGCATTAGAATTAAAACTCTTTCCAATGTCTTCCAACAAACGCATCTCTCACCAGCCCAACTGTATTGGAAATATTTGTACGTATAGAGCTACTGCAGGATGTCAGTCAAATTGTGCCAGAAAACAATAATCAGAATGCTGCAATCTGCAGACTTTTGTGGTGTTTAACACACTGCATGTCAAAGTTTTCATGGTGGTTTCAGGTGTGTGCTTTTTTGGATTTAGTGTGTGTTTATCACCTATGGCAGATTGGCCAGCTCAATGTGAAATATTTTTCACAGGCTCTACTGATGAAAAAGAGAAGCATGCTTCATGGGGGTTTTCTTTTCCTTCCAAATGTAACTGAATAATCTTCAAGGCTATGTAAACCCTAAGTGTAGATCCATAAATATGTATCTGTTAAAAATTGCTGACTTGTTTCTGTAACTATTCTTAAGGGATGAGCAGAGTTGTTTAATTTTATTAACTTCTTATATCTGGCTTCAGTCTCAACTCATTTTGTGAATTAATCTAGGTAACAATGTGTCTTGTCAAATATTTGTTACTAAAGTTGACAGTTTCTTGGCCTATAGAAACCAAGTATTCATGAATATTTGTTTTAGTACTGAAAGGAATTGATGCAAAACATAGTCCCAGTTTCTGCCTTGTGAAGCTGCCCTATTATGCTATTTCAATGGTGAACAGATGGCCTGAGGCTGCTTTAACTTGTGAGGCAATTGGCAGTCACCAGAATGGCCAAGAATCCCCTTTCTTCCTGTGCTAAGCGTGGAAAATGAGCAAGACAATATTTGTTAAACCCACCCTGCAAAAAAAAAAAAAAAATCAGTAAGGCTGGTCTTACGAATTGAGGACCTGATTCTGTTGAAAATATTACAGTTCAGGCTTCTCTGGGTATAAGTTTTATGCCTAGTAGTGATGGCAGAATTAGACCTTAGAAGGAGGAGTTATTCATTGAGTAAAAGGTAAAAGCTATCTTTGCATTGTTAATCAAGTATTCATTGTTTCTATTTTTGTTCTTGTTGGTCCTTCTAAGGTTGATGGGAAGTATGGCACTATCCAATCACTATCGTTCTGAGGATTTATTGGATATTGACACAGCAGCTGGAGGATTTCAACAGCGTCTTGGTTTGAAACAATGTCTTCCTCTCACCTTTTGCATTCACACTGGCCTGAGTCAATACATGGCACTGGAGTGTGTGGAGGGTCGTAATAAATATGAGATCTTCTACCAATGTCCAGTAAGGAAGAAATGTTTGTTTATAAATGTATCTTTTTGAAAAAACTGGCATTTGTCCTTTGCATGTTTATAAGAAGTGAAATATATAGTGTGCACAGTTTAATGAGCGTATGCTCTTTATACTATGACTGAGAGCTTTTTAACTAGTAAATAAAAATGATGCTGTCTTTGAGTTGCCCTCAGGTGTACACCAAAATTACCCAAGAAGAATATTTAACACAACAGTGACCTTAGTGTGTAATGTAGTTACTCCTGGGGGAATTCTGTGACACTGCGCAGTGCGGAATTTTGCAGAAATTAACATTGTGCATGCAGAATCACCCCCCTCCCCACACACACAAGAAGTGGGCTGCAGTGCTGCTAGCCTCTGCTAGGGGGTCAGTGGACTTGGCAGAGCCCAGCTTGCACATAGAAGACACTGCTTGGGGGAGAGAGCTAGAGAGTTCCTAGCATGCCCTGAGGGAAGGAGAGGGCAGAGTGCAGGAAACTGTGTGCAAATGTGGAATGGAGCATCAGGCTGTTTCTCCCTCTGGATCCCTGGGCTTGGGGGGGCGGGGGACCCTGCAGCTGCGGGTGAGGTGGGGTATCTGGGCTGATGGGGAGGGCGTGGTTGGGCTCTGAGGAGGAGGAGGTTTGGGTGTATTGGCTGCAGTGTGGGGGGCCCCACAGGTGGGCTTTGTGGGGGAGAGGTTTCGGGTGTCCGCCCCCTTGACTGGGCTCTGGGGAGGGGAAGGGGCAGAGAAACAGGAACTGGGTTGTCATAGGGGTTTCTTTAACTCTCTACTCCTGGGCGAATTTTTGTATGTCTGTATTGTTAGACATACTTGCTGACAGGTATTTGAAATTACCAAAATAATTGAAACTTGTGATTTATGTAGTGTTATTTTGACCAATAAAATTTGTAGAATTTTGCAGAATTTTAAAATGTGCACAGAATTTTTAATTTTTTGGTGCAGAATTCCCCCAGTAGCAATGATTGTAGCTAACTTCTATGGTCAAATTTATTCCTGCTCTACCTAATTTGGTAGAATTACGGCAGCCATGAATTTGTCCCAGTCTGTTTCAGCAAGTCACACTTTTTCATTGTTAAGCTTTGTTTTGCATGGTGGGAGACTTTGGATTTAGCAGTGAGTTATAGGTCTCTTTTCTAGAAAGAGCAAAACAAAGAAAAAATGGGGTATGATCTTTTTGGGAAATATATAATGCTTACTCTACAGTGAAAGAACAGAAAAACGATTTAAATCTATTAAAGCTTTATAAAATTGTTTCAGATACTACAGCGATAGCAACACCCTAATATCAGAGTCTGGTTGCTCTCACTTGCACTGGTATAATTTCATTGATTTTCAGTGGAGTTTACTCCTCAGGGCTTGTCTACACTACCCGCCAGATTGGCGGCCAGCGATCGATCCAGCGGGGGTCGATTTATCATGCGATAAATCGACCACTGCGTGCTCTCCCTTCGACTCTGGTACTCCACCAGAACTAAAAGCGCAAGCAGAGTCTACGGGAGAGCATCAGCTGTCGATTTACTGCAGTGAAGACACCACAGTAAGTAGATCTGAGTACGCTGACTTCAGCTACGCTATTCACGTAGCTGAAGTTGTGTATCTTAGATCGACCCCGTGCTGTAGCATAGACAAGCCCTGAGTCTCATTAGTGTGTGGGGGGAATCAAGCCCTCAATTCCTGAACAGCTTTGTCTCTTTCGTGGATTAAAGTACAAGTATAGTCAGAAAAGGGATTAAGTTCTCTCTCTAATAAGTGGATCTGCTATCTGTGTTCTATTTTATTGATAAAAATATATTTTTTCTACTCTAGTTAGCATTGCTGAGCCAGTGCAGCTTGTCCACTATCACCAATAAAATTATTTACAAAATCTACAACTGGAGTTTAGTACTATCTGTGGAAAATTCACAGGGTGAACTCGGCTTGACTTCCCTATTCCAGGTTGAGTTTACAGCAGTAGCAATTATAAGTTAACTTTTAATATATTTGTGTTACAACTTCCTACCTGGTCAGGTTGTGCATTATTTTCTAAACTGTGCATTTTAAAAACATACACCAAGGTTAAGTCTAAAACGCTCAAAAGCAAGATTAAACTATTCATTATTCTCACTACTAAAATTATTGCAGTACATATTACTTGGCATCACAGTAAAACTGTAATGACAAGCAACAACAACAGATACCTTGGCTACAGTTTGAGTCTTAATTTTGAATTGGAATTAAGCTAAAACCCCTTGAAAAGCAGTTGTTGAAACTACTGACCTAATTCTAGCTGTCCAGGGCATTCAGCACAAATTCCTAAAGAAAGATACTGGGAGCTTGGAACTCTCAAGTAACAGACTTTATTATAGAACCTTACCCTGCTGGATTCCTAGTTATTTTCCTCATATGTAGCAATGGGAGTTCTAGTCACCTGACATTGATGGGGGGGATTGGAGAAAAATCTTGTACACCTTTATGTTATGCTAAATGTCTGTTTTGCCTGGACTGTATTATGAGAAATTGAAGGCATTTAAATGTTAATATTTTGTTCCTCTGGAGACAATACAGACCCTTTGGTAGGAAGGAATGTAAAGATGGGAGTTCTAAAAATGAGGTGGAGTTAGTTTTCAGATTATTCTAAGGCTGTTACTTTTTTTTTTTTTTTAAATGATGCATGAAGTCTAATTTTCAAATGTGATCACCTTAGTGGAATGTCCCGATTGTGTGTTTGAATGCTCAACTTGGCACATAGACACATGGGACAGACATTTGTGTCTTAAATAGTGATTTGAACATTTGATTGTGGGATTTGGATGCTCTGTTGAAGAAGCTAGATTTGGGCCTAGATAATACTAGGAAAATATCCAGGTATTTAGGATGTCAAGAAAAAACATCAGTCTCCTTTTCAGTATACACATTTAATATTTGTTCCTTTTCTAGGATCAGATGGCCCGTAATCCATCTGCTATTGATATGTTCATTACAGGTAAGAGCATGTTGAGGGGTGTGTGTGTGTGTGTGTGTGTGTGTGTGGTGGGGGAGGGGGATTCATGCAAAAAATACCTCGTTTATAGATGCCAGTATATCTAACCATTTCATTCTGTCTTAAGTTGCATATATTAATAAATAATATACATATGCTGTGAGCTGGTTAGTACGTGTGCAGAACATTTTGACCTTCACAGAGTAAGCACTAAACTTGTACATGTATTCTTACTCCTAAGAAACCTATAACCAGTATTGGAACTTGAACAATTAACTAAAATAAGTTCTAAAACAGTTTTATTTCCCTATTAATGCTTGTCACACCTCTGTTTTTGAGTTATTCAACACACTGGTCAGTCTGACAAAATATATAGCCACCTTTAGGGTAACCATCAGAGGAGCTGTCGGAGACAGGTGGTTCAAAAACACCATGAACTGTAGCCTGGGAGAAGAATTTTTTAGTAGCCTTTGCAACCATATCACAGGTTGCAGTGTATATTGTGCCCCCCAGTGAAACATTCTTCTAAATGTAACCATACCTGAAAAGGAAAATGTTCCTGAATTTTTCAGGTTCTCTCTCTAACTGCATTGTTCAAAGCATAAAGGAGGAGAGAGGAAGATTTCAGATTCATTACTTGATGACTATAGAATCCTTGTGATGATCTGTTGACATGGGCTGGGACTGTAGTAGGAAGTTTCTCTCATCTTCCCCCCCCCACCTCCCTTTTCTACTGAAGGCTATTGGTAGGGTCTTACCAAATTCGTGGCCATGAAAAATGCGTCACGGACTGTGAAATCTGGTCTCCCCTGTGAAATCTGCTCTCTTGTGTACTTTTTATCCTACTATACAGATTTCACAGGGGAGACCAGTGTTTCTCAAACTACAGGTCCTGACCCAAAAGGGGGTTGGGGGGATGTCACAAGTTTGTTATAGGGGGATTGTGGTATTGCCACCCTTACTTCTGCACTGCCTTCAGAGTTGGATGGCCGGAGAGCAGAAGCTGCTGGTCAGGCGTCCAGCTCTGAAGGCAGTGTCCCATCAGCAGCAGCGCAGAAGTAAGGGTGGCAATACTGTACCATGCCATCCTTACTTCTGCACTGCTGCTGGCGGCAGTTCTGCCTTCACAGCTGGGCCCCCATGAATCATGAAATTTACAATTTAAAAAAAACTCTATGATCATGAAATTGACCAAAATGGACCGTGAATTTGATAGGGCTAGCTATTGGCTATGGAAGCCTTCAACTAACTGAACTGCTTTCCTGTTGAGTGAAAACAGTGCCTTAATTTAGAATTCCATTAATATGCATAATCTGTGCTAACCTGCATCACAGGTTGTTTCTATTGCAACACCAATGATGAGTAACAGCCCCACTGGGCCATGCTATAATGCTTTCACTTGTGGGTAAAAGTAGGAGAGAGAAACTCTTACTAAGACTTTCTAGTCCTGCAATTTTGGACTTGCAGTGGCTGTGTATTGGAAAATCCGTCGCTTATTCCACCCCAGAGGTAGCTGTATTGCAGTGCTGGGTGATGAAATCACTCTGTCTTCTTCGTCACAAGAGTGTTGAGGTTTACTGTCTCGTGCTTTGAAATCTTCAGATGAAAGGTGTTGTAGAAGTTCAAAGTACTATTCTAATTATTTGCAATTTGTGAGGGAGATTTGTTTTAGAGATGGTGACTGCAGTGATCTAGTGTTAATTATTACTTTGGGTTGGCCTTGTCTTATGGAAACAATGACTTCCAGTTGTGTGGATGAGTATGCTGGCACAACACATTCCATGTAGATGAGAAGATTAATCTAAGTATTTCCTACTTTCATCTAAAAACCAAGTGTTCAAACTGCAGAGTGAATCAGTATAGTCAGTGTGCACCCCAAACTCTAGCATTTCAAGGCCAAGACAAAATGTTGAAGATGATTGGGTGGGTGATAGAAGAAGGAAAATGGAGAAGAGAAATTATTGGAGACTACTAAGCAACAGAGGAGCCCCAAAGATGGCAGGACAGTACAAATAATTAAATGGCTTTTTAGGGCAAAATTAGGAACAAGAGATGAGTAAATTATGTTAATTATTGCTTTGTGCCATAGCAACCCCATGTAGCTTGGGAGAAATAGAATATTATTAAATTATTAACTTAAAAATAAACATTTCACATCAATAATATAAGCCAAAATTTAAAGAACTATTGATCTTCCATTACTAAAACCCATAATATGTTCCTTGAATTAATTGAATTACCTATAGCTTATTTCACTTATAGAGGATAATGTCTTGTCTTTGAGGACTTTGTTCATTAAAGGGACTCTGTCAAGGTTGAATCTGCCCAATAATGAATTTTTTACTGATCCTGATAAATCCAGCTGCTCTCAAAGTGATGACTGCAAGTTTTTGAAAATCTCAGTTTCTATATTGGGTGACCTATAAATCCAGAGCTCTGAGCTTGTGGTGGTAACAGGTGTGCATGTTGCACATGCTTCCACCCTACTGTCCAGCTTTGTTCTTGGGAGTACAGAAACTTACAAAATTTTATAGATTTCTTAGGAATTTTAATACCTTACCATGTGTGTGCAGATACCTACAAAACAAAACCAAGCTTGTAGGTCCAGTAATAGACCTACCAGCTTTAGCAAATAGTATATTGGATTAAGTGTGGAGTATAGTGCCTAAGAAATAGGTATAGTAATTACATTACTTGTAAAGCCAACATCACCTCCTTAAATCATAGGAGTACCAGTAAAGGTCTAAAAGGCAGTTGAAGTATAAAAGCATCCAGAATTGGGCGAGGTACTTCACAATGTAAATAGAAAGCCATGGTTCCTGGCCTGAAGAGTATACAGTCTCATTTTAGCTGTGACACAGTGAGTGGAGGATGACAAGCAAACCATTTAAGCCACAATTAGGTTCCCAGCAAAAGCAGAGGTCAGTGTTTTGAATAGAGCAGGATGAGGAATGAGTTACTCAGCTACAGAGGTCTGGGAATTTGTTTATATTAAGGCCTACTAGCTTTTATAATGCCTATGTTAAAAAGAAAGTTAATATTATAACTGGCTTAATTATAAGAGTACCTGCTTTTGTAAAACTTTCCCTCTTTGGCATCTAGGTACTTCTTATTTGGAATGGTTCACATCTTATGTAAACAATGTCGTAACAGGTGGCTATCCCATCATCAGGGACCAGATTTTCAGGTATCGTGACTTTGATCTGTAGTGCAGCATAATTACAAGGCAGAGAAAATCAATCTTTTCTTTAAATGCTGATTTTTTTTTTTCCAGACAGCTGGGTGTGGATGTGTGGTGTGAGGGTTAATGGGTGGGGATGGAGAAAGAGACAGCTGCAGAATCAAAAGGCTTAAACTAATCCTGTTTTGTTACCAGGAATATTAGAACTAGTAGCATCACACTGAAGGGACTGTAATTAATACCAGCTCTAACCCATCCGCCTGCCTAGAACTTGAGGTGCAAAATGAGAGGGCTAGTGAGAAAGACGCAGCTGCAGATCATGTAGGAGTTTATTGAAGAGCAGTTCTGCATAGCTCAAAAGCTTGTCTCCCACCAACAGAAGTTGGTCCCATAAGATATTACCTCACTCACCTTGTCTCTAATATCCTGAGGCCAAAACAGCTACAACAAAACTGGTAAACAAATGACATTTGCTATTTTAAATAAGGGATTCTTTCATTGATATGGTCTATCTACCATTCATTCAAATATTGTATTGAATATATGTATTATGATACTCTAAACAAACAAGATTTGGAGATGGATTTACCTTGAAGCTCCAAGTGCACTTCTCTAGATGTTTTTGTTTTTATCCTGGTTGTGTATAACAGTAGTTCTCAACCAGGGGTACGCATAAGGGGGTACATCAACTCATCTAGATATTTGCCTAGTTTTACCACAGGCTACATAAAAAACACTAGCAGTCAGTATAGACTAAATTTCATATGGATAATGACTTGTTTATAGTTCTTTATCAGAGGTTTCGGAAGTGTGGGGCACACGCCGCCTAGGGGGCTGTGGAGAAAGGTCTGGGGGTGGAGGGTGCATGGTGGGACCTGGGCCAGCCTCCACAGGGGTGGGGAGGGAGCGCCACTCAGCCCCTTCCTGCCCCCCACTGTGTTCCAGTCCTGCCCCACCAGTGTCTCCGACTCCTGGCGACGACCCCATCCTCAGTGCGTCCCCGCTCCTGCGCGCGCGTCCCCTGTCCCCGTCGCTGCCCCCCCCCCGGCCACACACACACTTTGGCCCCTGATCACAGCCCCACTCCTGGCCACGGCCCCACCCCCAGCTGTGTCCCCAGCCTTGGCCCCCTTACCTCTGTCTGTGGCCCCCCACCCTCCGCGGCGTCACAGTCCGGCTTCTGGAGCGGGGCAGAGGGCGTGCGTGCGCACGGTTGGGGGTAAAAGGGGGCATGTATATTATGTACTATACACTGAAATGTAAGTACAATATTTATATTCTAATTGATTTATTTTATAATTATATGGTAAAAATGAAAAAGTAATAATTTTTTGTTTTTAGTAATAGTGCGCTGTGACGCTTTTTTGTATTTCTAAGTGAGGTGAAACTTGGGGGTATGTAAGACAAATCAGACTCTTGAAAGGGGTACTGTAGTCTCGAAAGGTTGAAAGCCACTGGTGTATAATAGCCCCTTTTAAGATTAATGGGATGCTGTAAGAACTAAATTTTGTATCTCCAAAATAGATTTGTACACAACTGAATATGAAGAATTGCATGAAGACATTTCTAAAGTCTGCCTTCATAGTTTAAGGCAAGCATTGCACTGTTGTACAAGTGCATTCACAAAGACTAAAGAATGTCTAGTTTCATTTAGGGCTAATAGTCACACACAATAACTTTTTTTTTTCATTTTGGGTTTAATTATCCAAATACTATTAGTATAGCATGTGGAAACTTATTCTTCAAAAATATCCTTTTAGCATCTGTATTGAACCCATGGAATTGGGTTACATCATAATAAAGAGTTGGAAATTTCTTTTGTATGTTTCTGTTGCACAGGTATGTTCATGATAAGGAGTGTGTGGCCACAACAGGAGATATTACTGTTTCAGTCTCCACGTCTTTTCTACCTGAACTCAGTTCTGTACATCCACCTCATTACTTCTTCACTTACAGAATCAGGTGAGAATAGCAAATGGGCTGTCTTTCCTGATAACAGGAGAGTCTTCTGTCTGGAGTTCAAGCCTCATGACTGTTGCATGTGTATGCACAGTACTCAGAAGTATGGTGAAATTTAGATATCGTATACGTATGGAGCTTGGTGTACAGCATGCAATATAATTATTTTAATATCGTTTTAAATAAAACGACTATTTGACTGTTTTAAAACTTGCAATGGGTCGTCTTGTGCTTTATTGAGGAGTTTCTTTTCACTAACAATATATAGCACATATCACTTTGCATACGTGAAACATTTGTCACAATATTTGTCATGAGTTAAGGAGAGGTAGGTAATTAAGAGGAATAATAAAGCTGGGATTAGTGCTCTGGTGTTCCTACTTGCATCTGTATACAGGTCATTAGAACATACCACTTTCTCTAAGCAGTAGGGAGTATAGAAATAGTATTTTAAATATTTTATAGTGGTTTTTAGACAAGTAAGTAATTCATTTCTACGCAAAAAATATATTTGATTTGGCTCATAGAATTGAGATGTCCAAAGATGCTCTCCCTGAAAAGGCTTGTCAGTTGGACAGTCGGTACTGGAGAATAACCAATGCCAAAGGTGATGTAGAAGAAGTTCAGGGTCCTGGAGTCGTTGGTATGTAAACTGAGAGTTTGAGTTTCATTTTTGCATTCATAGCATTCCAGTGATTAATGTGAAAATTCTGTAACTTCTGGCGGAGCCATTCTCAGTAATGATGCAAGATGGTGGCTATTCTCTTCTTTTAGCAAACATGCATTCTGTTCCACTTTCTCATATTGCATTGTGTGTAAGTGAAAGAGTTAAACATTCACTTCAATTTTAAAGGATCTTAAGGAATATAATTTTTGGTTAACTATTTTAAATTGTTGGGCAAATTTGTATATTAATATACAGTAGTTAATATTAGTATAAGTAGTCAAACCATTTAAAGATTTTTTAATTACTTAGATTGTAAGCTCTTTGGGACTGGAATTGTCTTTTTGTACAGCACCTAGCACATTGGGGGTCCTGGTCCATGAGTGGGGCTCCTAAGTACTTTGATAATACAAATAAATATTAATAATCCTGAAGTCTCTAATGCCATCTGTTTTTATCTATGTATTAGGGTTAACAGCATAAGTGCATGTCAGAAGACTTAAGTATTTTTTTTTGTATTTAGAAATGATTTGTAGCAATAGTTCGGGGGTTTTTTTGTGTTTTTTTTTTTTTAAAGACTCCCGCACACACCCCCCCACACACACACATGTTGTTGTTTGGGCATTCTTGTCCTTTGAGCTTGTTATAGTGACTCCTGTTCAGCAAGTTAGGCACTTCTGATTTAGTGAACAATATTCTCTAAAAAACTGCTATTCACTTGTGACTGAAAGTGATGCAAAGATAACTAGTCACTAGAATGACATGCATCCAATGAAGTGGGTATTCACCCACGAAAGCTTATGTTCCAATACGTCTGTTAGTCTATAAGGTGCCACAGGACTCTTTGCTGCTTTTACAGATCCAGACTAACACTGCTACCCCTCTGATACTAGTCACTAGAATGTTCATTAAAACAGGATGTGTTACAACAAGCTTACCTCTTTTTTCCCCCCTTTTATTCGTATAGTACAGTTACAGAAGCGCTTAAACTTTTGTTACTAGCTGTGTATTCCAGCAGAACTCTAGCTGAACTTAATGTCTATAGAAATTAACTATATTGCAAGAGGAAAGTATACACTATTTATACTTAAATTCAAAACTCCCAATGGTTCTTTGTTGTGTTTTGTATTTGCAGGAGAATTTCCAATAATCAGCCCAGGTCGAGTTTACGAATATACCAGCTGTACTACCTTCTCCACTACTTCAGGATACATGGAAGGATACTATACCTTCCACTGTCTCTACTATAAGGACAAGTTCTTTAACGTCATAATTCCCAGATTTCATATGGTATGCCCAACATTCAAGGTGTCTACAGCACGCATGGTAAGCTGAGATACAGTTGGTATTGTCATTTGTGCTTGGCTTTTATCCCTAACCTTTTTGCAGAAAACATGAATGAAATTAGCTCTAATAGAATAGTATAATGTACGTTCTCTAGATAAAGGTCTTACCAGACTCCATAATTATGACACTTTTTCCAGTTTTATAATTTTATTTCTTAGTAGTATAAGATAGACAATTCCCTACAAGAGGGAAGGACAAGAACAACAATTACAAAATCTGGAGATAGATCTAGAGAGAGACGTCTCCTCCCCCCTGCCTCCCACTGAAATCCTGTCCCCTAATTTGAATTCCTCTGAGTTCTTTGGAGTGATTGTGTAGCCAAGAGAATATATCAAAATAGATTAACTGAATCTAACTATCATTTATGATTAAATGTTAATGTCACCTCATGCTTGGATTACTGCGTACACTCCAGGCGGGGCTTTACTTAGTCAATCCAAAAATTTGAGTGGCGTAGTGGTCTGTCTGTTATGCTGCACCTAACAAGCACATGCTTATGTCATATAACTGGAGTTATAATTTGCATTTTGAATCAAAGATGGCTTGAAGCTAAAATGTTTAATTTTTTATCCATGAATCGCTAAATGGGTTGGGTCCTTCCTGTTCGATGGGCCACCTTTCCCCCTCCACTCTGTTACAGCTTCAGTGGATGGAGATGCTGAACTTCAATCATCTTGACAATGAGAGTATACTAGTAATTCGTCCATGATGGGTCTGCTATTCTGAAATGGCTTCTACCTGCGCGTTCTAGCCCAGGGGTCTGAAATAGCTCATGTCTGTGGACTTTCGGGGCATGCTTCCAGGCACATCCATTTATGCAGGCTATTGCGGTGTTGGGCTTTAGAGGGAGAACAGAGTTGTTTGTTCTGCAGGTGACTTAGATTTATGTTTTTGTAACTTGTGACATTGGCACCTTTGTAACTGTGAAATTGGATGGATACGCCCTTATTTACAAATCTAAATTGTTACATATTTGAGCTCTTTCTGTCTTGGTGTGACCTGATTGTAATTTGCTGCCTTCTACATCAGAAGAATGTCTCTGCTTTTCTTGATAGGAGAGAAGTTTCCATACATGTGCTAAACAGGCCTTTTAAGCTGATTGATTTTAAGGTCAAAAGGGACCTTAATGTTCATCTAGTCTACACTGCACAACGTAGGCCATGGAATTTCACCCAGTAACTCCTGCATCAATTCCAAAAATTTAATAAATTGCTTTTCTGTTGAATGATTATCTATTTTTAAGGTTTGGAAGCAGCTGGTGAATCTGGGCAGTTTTGTTAGCTTGTTTTGACGTAAGTGTAAATTGACTTGATAAAATTTGTAAACTGTTCTATGTCTCGGTATTTCAGATGGAATTTAGGGTGTTTAATGTTTTTCAGGCCCTGTAGTTAAACACTCAAAGAAAGCAGAAGGCCTTGCAAAATTCAGAGCAGCAAAACAAAACTGGATTGACAAATAAGCAAAAAGAGCCCAGAGTCAACCGATTCCATAAGAGGGGAAATGAAGCTGCTAATTACACTGGCATCCGTGGGCAGGGCAATGCTAAAGAGGAATATGGGCGCTCAAGTGATGTGATTAGGAGATTACATTTTTAAAAAGATATTTTGGGAAACTAGGACTGGTTTAGGCTGGTAACAGTGAATGCAAACTGCCAACAGAGGTCACACTTGTAACAGATACATTGCTTTTTCCCCCCTCTTTCCTTTGGTTCCCTTTATTTATTTAAACCTAGACCTCTCTTCTCTTCCACAAGTTGCAGAAATCACTTGCATTTGATTTGGTAATTTTATTACTCTGCCTCTGATACAGATGCTTAGCAGAGGATTATTGTACATTAAAGTTGAGCGGTACTTTGATATTTTAGCGTATTGACTCAAATTCAGACCTAGTGGCTTAAATTCTGCTCTGTTACATACTTGTAAATCTGAAAGAACTAATTGAATTCAATAGTTAAGAGCTGGGATTTTTATTGGCCCATAGCTGGGAAGATTTTACAGTATTAGTGCCAGCAAAACCCAGATTTAGTTTTTTGTTCTTGTTTTTTAATGCAAATCTATTTAAAAGAATTTCAGACAGTCGTCAGAAAGGTTATACCATGCTTTTTTTTAATAAGCCTTAATTTTTCAAGCATAAACCCTTAGTTACTATGTTGGCCCTACACAGTATCCTGGGGCAGGTCTTCACTACAGCCGGGATCGACGTTCTGAGGGTATGTCTACACTACGAAATTAGGTCGAATTTATAGAAGTCTGTTTTTTTAGAAAGTGATTTTATACAGTCGATTGTGTATGTCCCCACTAAGTGCATTAAGTCGGCGGAGTGTGTCCACAGTTCTGACGTTAGCATCAACTTTCGGAGCATTGCACTGTGGGTAGCTATCCTGCAGTCTCTACTGCCCATTGGAATTCTGGGTTAAGCTTCCATTGCCTGATGGGGCAAAAACATTTGTCGCGGTTGGTTTTGTGTATGTGTCGTCAGTTGCCCCTCCCTCTGTGAAAGCAATGGCAGACAATTGTTTCATGCCTTTTTTTCCGTGCGGGCGCCGTACTGCTTTCAGCAGACAGTGCAATAGGTTTGCAAACCGTCGTCATCGAACGACTGCTTCCACTGCCACTCTGCTCTCCTGATGCTATGAATCCACCTCGCAGGTCCTCTATATGACCATCATCCTCCACCGCTGCTGCTCTGCTCTCCTGGTGGTCTCGCAGGGCTGCTTCTGCTGCAACTCTGCTCAGCTGCTCTTGTCTCGCGATAACACAGCAAGCGTGCAGTCCGCTCAGCTGTTGTGTCCTGGCAGCAGACAGTGCAGTAGGTCTGCAAACCAACGTCATTGAACGACCGCTTCCGCTGCCACTCTGCTCTCCTGGTGGTCTCGCAGGGCTGCTTCCGCTGCAACTCTGCTCAGCTGCTCTTGTCTCTCCATACCACGGCAAGCGTGCAGCCCGCTCAGCTGTTGTGTCCTGGCAGCAGATGGTCCAGTAGGTTTGCAAAACTGGTCATCCAACCACCGCTTCCCCTGCAACTCTGCTCTCCTGCAGACACCATACCACGGCAAACGTGGAGCCTGCTCAGATCACTGCAGCAGTTATGAGCTTTGTAAACACCTCGCGCATTAGCATGCAGTATATGCAGAACCAAAATCCGCAAAAGCAGGCGAGGAAGTGATGGCAGCGCAGTGACGAGAGTGATGAGGACATGGACACAGACTTCTCTCAAAGCCCGGCAATTTGGCCATCCTGGTGGCAATGGGAAAGGCTCATGCCATGGAACGCTGATTCTGGGCCCGGGAAACAAGCACAGACTGGTGGGACGGCATAGTGTTGCAGGTCTGGGAAGATTCCCAGTGGCTGGGAAACTTTCGCATGCGTAAGGCACTTTCATGGAACTTTGTGACTTGCTTTCCCCTGCCCTGAAGCGCAAGAATACCAAGATGAGAGCAGCCCGCACAGTTCACAAGTGAGTGGAAATAGTCCTCTCGAAGCTTGCAACTCCAGACAGCTACTGGTCAGTCGGGAATCAATTTGGAGTGGACAAATCTACGTGGGGGCTGCTGTGATTCAAGTAGCCAGCGCAATCACTGAGCTGCTGCTATCAAGGGTAGTGACTTTGGGAAATGTGCAGGTCATAATGGATGGCTTTGCTGCAATGGGATTCCCTAACTGTGTGGGGCGATAGATGGAATGCATATCCCTATCTTGGGACCAGATCACCAAGCAAGCCAGTACATAAACCAAAAGGGGTACTTTTCAGTGGTGCTGCAAGCACTGGTGGATCACAAGGGACGTTTTACCAACATCAACGTGGGATAGCCGGGAAAGGTACATGACGCTTGCATCTTCAGGAACTCTGGTCTGTATAAAGAAAGGGAGTACTTGTGGCACCTTAGAGACTAACCAATTTATTTGAGCATAAGCTTTCGTGAGCTACAGCTCACTTCATCGGATGCATACTGTGGAAAGTACAGAAGATCTTTTTATACACACAAACACCCATTTTTTCATGGTTTGTGTGTATAAGAAGATCTTCTGTACTTTCAACAGTATGCATCCGATGAAGTGAGCTGTAGCTCACGAAAGCTTATGCTTAAATAAATTGGTTAGCCTCTATGGTGCCACAAGTACTCCTTTTCTTTTTGCGAATACAGACTAACACGGCTGTTACTCTGAAATCTGCTCTGTATGAACAGCTGCAGCAAGGGACTTACTTTGCAGACCAGAAAATAACCATGTGGGATGTTGAAATGCCTATAGTTATCCTTGGGGATCCAGCCTACCCCTTAATGCTATGGCTCATGAAGCTGTACAAAGGCACCCTGGACAGTAGTCAGGAGCTGTTCAACTGTAGGCTGAGCAAGTGCAGAATGGTGGTAGAATGTGCATTTGGATGTTTAAAAGCGCGCTGGTGCAGTTTACAGAGTCGGTTAGACCTTAGCGAAACCAATATTCCCATTGTTATTACTGCTTGCTGTGCGCTCCACAATATCTGTGAGAGTAAGGGGGAGATGTTTATGGCGGGAAGGCAAATCGCCTGGCCGCTGATTACATGGAGCCGGACACCAAGGTGGTTAGAAGAGCATAGCAGGGCGCGCTGCGCATCAGAGAAGCTTTGAAAACCACTTTCATGGCTGACCAGGCTACGGTGTGACAGTTCTGTTTGTTTCTCCTTGATGAAAACCTGCCCCCTTGGTTCACTCTACTTCCCTGTAAGCCAAACGCCTTCCTCTCCCCCCTTCAGTCACCTCTTGCAGAGGCAATAAAGTCACTGTTGTTTCAAATTCGTGCACTCTTTATTAATTCATCACACAAATAGAGGGATAACTGCCAAGGTAGCCTGGGTGGGGTGGGGGAGGAGGGAAGGACAAGGCCACACTGCACTTCAAAACTTATTGAATGAATGCCAGCCTTCTGTTGCTTGGGTAATCCTCTGGGTTGGAGTGGTTGGGTGCCCGGGGGGTGCCTCTCAACCCCCCCCCCCCCGTTCTTGGGTGTCTGGGTGAGGAGGCTATGGGACTTGGGGAGGAGGGTGGTTGGTTACACAGGGGCTGCAGTGGGGGTCTGTGCCTTTCCTGCACCTCAACCATACGCTGGAGCATATCAGTTTGATCCTCCAGTAACCTCAGCATTGCATCCCGCCACCTTTCCTCCTGATCATGCCACTTGTTCTCTCGCATGTCCCTCCTGTCCTCGCGTTCATTTTGTGCTTTCCTGAACTCTACCATTGTCTGCCTCCACGCATTCTGCTGGGCTGCTGGGCTCTTTCAGTTTGGGTGGACTGCATGAGCTCGGAGAACATTTCATCGGAAGTGCATTTTTTTTGCCGCCTTATCTGCACTAGCCTCTGGGATGGAGATGCTAGTCACAGTGTTGAAACATTTTCAGCTGTGGGAGGAAAAAAAGGGAGATTAAAATTTAAAAAGACACATTAGCAATTTAAAAGGAGGGACTGATATTTTTGGGTTAATGTGCAGCAGAAACCCAACTAACTCCCCCTTCCCCACCCAATTCTCTGGGATGATAGCTTCATCCCTCCGCCCCACTGCATGGATAACAGCGGAGATGATTTTTTTTTCAGCTACAGGCAAACAGCCCAGCAGGAACGGCCACCTCTGAATGTCCCCTTAATAAAATTCCCCTATTTCAACCAGGTGACCATTAATGATATCACACTCCTGAGGATAACACAGAGAGATAAAGAACGGATGTTGCTTGAATGCCAGCAAACACCAGGACCACATGCTGCCATGCTTTCTTATGCAATGATTCCAGACTACGTGCTACTGGCCTGCTGTGGTAAAGCGTCCTACAACGGAGGATGCAATAAGGCTGCCCTCCCCAGAAACCTTTTGCAAAGGCTTTGGGAGTACCTCCAGGACAGCTTCATTGAGATGTCCCTGGAGGATTTCCGCTCCATCCCCAGACACGTTAACAGACTTTTCCAGTAGCTGTACTGGCTGCGAATGCATCCCAAGTCTTCAGGGCAAATTAGTCATTTAAATGCTTGCTTTTAAACCGTGTATTATATTTACAAAGGTATACTCACCAGAGGTGCCTTCTCCGCCTTCAAGGTCCGGGAGCCTGGGTTGGGAGGGTTGGAGGATATTGGCTCCAGGGTGATAAATAGTTCCTGGCTGTCGGGGAGAACAGTTTATCCACTTGCCTGGTGTGCACTGTCTTCAACCTCCTCCTCATCATCATCTTCCTCATCCCTGTTGTGTGAAACTCCCTTGCAGGAGTCCATGTACAAGTGTGGGGTAGTTGTAGGAGAACTGCCTAGAATTGCATGCAGCTGCTTATAGAAGCGGCATGTCTGGGGCTCTGACCCCGAGCGGGCGTTTGCCTCTTGGGTTTTTTTGTAGGCTTGCCTGAGCCTCTTAAGTTTCACACGGCACTGCTGTGGGTCCCTGCTGTAGCCTCGGTCCTTCATGCCCTTGGAAATTTTTTTCAAATATTTTGGCATTTTGTCTTTTGGAACAGAGTTCTGGTAGCACGGATTTGTCTCCCTAAACAGCAGTCAGATCCAGTCCATGCTGGAGCTCTTTTGCGATTCTGGGACTCCATGGTCACCTCTGCTGAGGAGATCTGCACGGTCACCTGTGCTGATCAGCTTGCCATGCTGGCCAAACAGGAAATGAAATTCAAAAGTTCACAGGGCTTTTCCTGTCTGCCTGGCCAGTGCATCTGAGTTGAGAGTGCTGTCCAGAGAGGTCACAATGGAGCACTGCGGGATAGCTCCCAGAGTCCAATACTGTCGAATTGCGTCCACCCTAACCCAAATTTGACCTGGTGATGTTGATTTCAGCGCTAATCCCCTCATCGGGGAGGAGTACAGAAATTGATTTTAAGAGCCCGTTAAGTCGACAAAAATGGCTTTGTGTGGATGGATGCAGGGTTAAATTGATCTAATGCTGCTAAATTCGACCTAAACTCGTAGTGTAGATCAGGGCTGAGATTGATCCACTGGTGGTCAATTTAGCGGGTCTAGTAAAGAACCGCCAAATCAACAGCAGATCGCTCTCCAGTCAACCCCTGTACTCTACCCCTGACAAGAAGAATGAGGTAAGTAAACGAGAGATTTTTTTCCTGTAGACCCCGCAGTAACTCGACCTAAAGTACATTGACTTCAGCTACGTTATTTACGTAGCTGGAGTTGTGTAGTGTAGGTCAACTTACCGTGGTAGTGTAGACATAGCCCTGATTAACAAACAAAGCAGGTATAGCTACCAGTTCTAGATGAAGGCCTTTATTTTTTGGGGAGGTGTTGGGGTTTTTTAAACACTTGGTCTGTTACAAGCCTTTTCAGATGTTAATTGGGGTGAAGAAAGGTGCATATAATATCCAATTCTTATACCCCTTTTTTAAAGAAGTTACATGTTCCTGAAATATGCCCTTTCGGTCTTTTATAACTTGTTTTTCTGATTAATATTTTTAAAGGGGATAACGTGAACAGACTAAAGGCTGGCTTAAATTTTACTTTTTTTAATTTATGAATTACTTTTTGGGTTAGCTCTTGTGGTTGTGCTGTTTTACAGGATTAGTTAACCCAGCTCAGTTAGTTCTACGTTCACCATTTTCATGTTTTTTGTGTGATTTGTTTAGTAAACATAACTAACCATGACCGTAGTGATTTTTTTTTTACATCAGCACAAATACACAGAGACCCTGGTTAAACATCTAAAGTACATAATTGTGTCAGTGTCCAAGTGTAATGTTAGCACTTTCAGTAAACTTTCATACAGGCTGTCTGGTGCCAGGGAAAAAACCCACTCCCAGAATTCTTCAGCAAATTCAGACTTACCAAGCTTTACCAAACTCATGTCAACCACAGTAATTTATAATAATTCAACACCATTCCAACAGTTAGTGAGTCAGATTCTGATCTCACTGGTCTACTTAGTTTATGAATAAAAGTTTAAACAGATTATAAATATAATTGCCATGTAGATTAAATTTTATAAAATTGATACATGAAAACAAATCTGATTTAACAGTATTTTAATATTTATAATAATTAGTCTTTATCTGAGACTGACTTTAAATGTGATGTAAATGACATCTTGATTTTAATTTTTTTGTTACATTGTTAGCACTTGATCAGAGTGAGATTTAGGAGGCAATTAAGTACTTAGTTAAACATGGGGGTGTCTTGTTTATAGGAAACTAATCATAATGAATATGCTATGGATGAAGATGAAGACTCAACAGATACTGATGAATATGAAGACAGACGTAGAGTCTTGGATATTCCTGCCCCTTCTGGACGCTGTCCACGTCATACCTGATTGTACTTCTTTAAAAAACAAAACAAAAAAACTGTTGGTTAGAGAAGTTAAACTTTCTGGGGCTACTGCATAAGACAGTTTCTGAATATTGTAAATGAATTTTCTTTTCCACAGCAGGACAACTAGCATGAATATTGGTGCCAGTTCTAACTTTCATCTGATTGGACTGTAAGGATTTTTTTTTTGAGGGCGGGGGGAAGGGTTTTGTGGGGTTTTTTTGTTCACTTTTTTTTCTGAAGTGCAAGACAGCTTGACAGTCTGAGGAAATCATATCTTACATTTTTAAACTATTTCCTATTTATGATCATATTACAAACATGGTATGGGGATTTGTTTTTATACAAGCATTTAAAACTTAGCAACAGACAGAGGAGTTTGCAAAAAGGTATATAATGGCCTTTCACACTGACTTCCAATTGTTAATTTCTGCTTTGAATGAATGGAATTTGCAGTTAGGCCTGTGTAACCCCATTGGGTTGGATCAGGTGCTCCTGTACATTTTTATATTAATATACAGATACCATAAAATTCTGGTGACTGAGTGCGTAAGTTTGAAATGAAACAAACTTTATTTTTCAGACAATCTGTCTTTCAGCTTAGTTTATAATAAATATCTGATGATGATCACAGATACATGCCTTTTGGGATGTAGTATAATTCATAATCTGCTGTTTACTAACCAGCAATTTCTCAGTTATTACATAGTACAAATTTGTAAATACTGTTTGATTTTTTTTCCTTTATATGCTGTTTGCTGTCAGACTTTGTGGTAAGTGACACAAATTTTATGTGTAAGACTAAGTATTATCAAATGTTTTCCTGAATCCTATATGAATTTTTGTAATTATGCTTGATTCACAATTGGGGCTTAGCAGTACACAGATGTCTAAAAGCCTTATATTTAAAGAAACATTTGTTTGGTCTATTGTTTTTATTTTGTTTCCACTGCTATTAAAATAAATATATTGCCTTCATTGTTCTAAATGTTGCTTGGAACTATTCCTCTTGCTAAGAGTAGAGCAAGGAATTAAAAGTTGCAACTGATGCCACATTGTAGTTGGCTGCCCTTCTTCACACTTACCACAGCAAATTCCCTCCAGCTTGGACAGAAAGTATCTGGCACTGGTGGACCCAACTGAAACCTCATTTGTTGGATATCTCCTTGAGTAATGGTTGGCTGCAGCTATTATAGATTGTGGCCGCTATTTCCTTTACATGATTTTAGTGCCATTAGATTCACTCGTAGGTTTATTGTCTTCACGTCAGGGAGGTTTTCCCAAGACTGAATTAAGTAGAACCAGGAAACGTTACTGGATTGAATCCTGTATTGCTCAGGAAAAATGTCTGTGGAAGTGGATGAGAGACATAACTACCTAGGTCTGCAGAGCTCTGCCCGTAATCGATAATTCTAATGAACTGTATAACAATTGGAATACTTGAAACTGTTCACTTGTTGTTTTTACTGAACCTTCTAAATACTGAGTGAAAGGAAAATACTATAATGTGAGAGCCTTGATTCCTATTTCAACTAAATACAAAAGGTTTTTTTAAAAATAATTAGTTAACAAAAGATTAGAGACTAGTAACTTTCAGCATAACCACAAATCTGTAGTATTAAAATGAAAAGATTCTAATATTCTTTAAGGGCAGAAAGTACCACTGTCTTATGGATGATTATGGCTCTGTGTCTGTTGTGGGGGTCGTGGAAGTCATTGGTGCTGTGACTTCTGCAGCAGCCAGTGTGGCTGTCCAGCCAGGTTCAGCCACACCAGCTGCTGCTGGAGCGGCTCTGCAGCCAGCCACTCAGGTGGCCCCACAGCCAGCTGCATGTGTTAAATCTCAAGTCTTAAGACCAAGAACTTTTCAAAAAATCCCACTGAGACTGAACATTGGAAGCTCTAACTAGGTAGGCTGTTGTCTGCATTGCTGTCTGGTAGAGTTGAATGGGGGTTGGGGACAATTTTTGCAAAATGTCTTTAAGTAGATAAGGTATTAAATAGTAATAATTGGAAAGGTCATTGTCTCTCATGCTTGTAAATGGCTGGAAGGACAAAAACCACAATTGTATACAGTGTTGTAGCTGTGTTGGTCTCAGGATATTAGATACACAAGGTGGGTGAGGTAATACCTATTATTGGCCTGACTTCTGTTTGTGTGAGAGACAAGCTTTTGAGCTTATATAGAGCTTTTCTTCAGTTCTGGGAAGCAAGCTTGTAAAAGACACTACCTCATTCACCTTGTCTCACTAAAAGCCCAACTGTCAGTGTTTACTTTGACATAAGCACCTGAATAAAATTATATCCGATTCTCTAGATTGTGATCTATAGGTTTGTAGTCTTCCCTGACTCAGTTTCCTCTATTATGGTGATGTGCTTAGGGTAAGAGGAAAAGACCTGGTATGAGTGGGACTGGAGGAAGAGGATTGTGTTTTAGGAGAGAACTAGTTTGGGAAACACTTTAACTAAAATTCATATGTGAAAAAGCAGTGACCACATTTGGTTTAAGCCCTGCTTTTACATATAGCTTTTTTTTTTCAAATGTGATTTTAGTGGAAAACCAAACATCACTCTTCTCTGTGCACCCAAAACTACTGGTACTTACTATACAAAGAGAAATAAACATAAAACTCTGTGGTGAACAGAAATCGTAGATGGATACAATGGCTCAATTGAGGACACCAGTGTAAATGGATTTGCTTCTTTTTCGAATTTAAACTGCAAATTTCCATAGCTTGTGCAAAGGGGGCTTTTGCTAAAGCATCATGTTCTTGATGTTCTCTGCTCTACAGCTGAAGCCTGGTTATAGGGGTAATTCATCTGCTCATCAAGTTCTACCACTTCTGTTTTAGCTACTGATTCATACCATCTGTTTGTTTTTATGTTGCTCTTCTTTCCTTACCTCAGAAGCTGGTTTCTTACATGCTATATGAATGATTGGCTATGTGTCCTGTGCAATATATTCTTAAGGGAAAACTGCACCACTTGTGTATTAACATCAATCTTCATACATGTCCTACTTCCACATATGGGCAATGAATTGCTCACTTACAAAACTTTTAATTCTGCTTTATGCTAAAAAGCTTGAGCTATGTTCAGCTATTTACAAGCAGACAGAAAAATGCAATATATTGAATTTGTGAAAAGAGAACTGGAGGTGTTACATCTGGCAATCCTCTAAGTCCTAGTGCTAAGGAGTAAATATTAGGAGGAAGGCTACGTTCTATGAAAACAAGGAGATGTGTGAAAGGGAATACGACTAAAAGGAAACACTTTGAATAATCAATGTCTAACAAACTCAGTGGACCTTCTTCTACAGTCTCTTAAAGCACAGATCTTGGTATGGCTCACAAGTGGTGTAGATACATGAATAAAAATAGCTTGTGCAATTATACTACATCTAGGATAAAACTGCAGAACTCTAAACTTCTGCTTTAGGCTATTAATGGAATGTCAGCTAAGGTGAGGAAGAAAAACTTTATTGTATTAGTTGCTCAACCTGGTGTCTCTGGTACCTAGGTAGACCAGAATTCTGTGTAGAACGTGTCATGAGCCACTGAATGTCGTGCAGAATACTAAAACATAGATTTACTTGCATGGTAGACTGGCGACAAGTGTTTACTATGGATAGCTGGACATCATAGAAGATTAGGGTTTGAAGAGACCTCATGAGGTTATCTAGTCAAAGCAGGACCCATCCCAACAAAATCATCCCAGCCAGGGCTTTGTCAAGCCGGGCTTTAAAAACCTCTAAAGAGGGAGGTTCCACCACCTCCCTAGGTAACCCATTCCAATGCTTCATCACCTTCCCAGTGAAATAGTTTTCCCTAATGTCCAACCTAGATCTCCCCCACTGCAACTTGAGACCATTCCTCCTTGTTCTGTCATCTGCCACCACTGAGAATAGCCTAGCTCCATCCTCTTTGAAATCCCCCTTCAGGTAGTTGAAGGCTGTTATCAAATCCCCCCTGCTCTTTTCTTTTGCAAACTAAATAATCCCAGTGTCCTCAGATTCTTCCCATAAATCATGTGCCCCAGCCCCCTAATCATTTTTGTTACTCTCCACTGGACTCTCTCCAATTTGTCCACATTCTTTCTGTAGTAGGGGGCCCAAAACTGCATGTAATACTCCAGATGTGGTCTCACCAGTGCCAAATAAAGGGGAATAACCACTTCCCTCTATCTGCTGGCAATGCTCCTACTAATGCAGCCTGCTAATATGTGGGGTGTTCCTTCTGTCAGTTAAATGATAGTTCTTCAGTTCTCTCTATAACTTCTGCATTATTAGATCATAAGGTGACCTTAACAGAGGCATGACATTTACAGTAAAAGGTTTGGAGTATGAATGCCTTTTGATATAGGTGAGGATATGTGGTCATGCAGTTGTTAATTGTTTGCCTGAATGGTTAGAATTTGGTATTCAGAACAGTGAATGATAAAGGGAATAATATAGTTCCAATTATATATGACTGGAATTCTATCCACAAATACTCTGAAGCTTGAGTTGTAGAATGTTTGTATTTTTAACCCTGGGATTGAATTGATGTACATTTTAGGGACACAATATGCTATTGGAAAGTTAGCAGCTTTCTGCGGGAGTGTGGCACGCAGTAGTTGCTATCTGCATGCATTCAGCAGGGATTCCTAGAAATTTTACTGAGAGCAGATCTTATGGTTTGAACTGATACTTCAAAATGCACTAAAAATCTATGTGCATACTCAGAATTTTCTTTTGAAATATCCTCTAGGAAAACAGCATTACTTAGTGGGAAGAGGAAAGACCGGAGTAAGCATTAGTGTTAACACAGAGTAACCATGCTCCTGACCCCCTTCCTGTAGCCATGGGAAGGAGTGCAGGGGGTGCTGCAGCATCCCCAGGTTTTATGCAGGGCCTCTGGCCCCAGGCCGGGGGCTCCACTCAGGT